GAGATGCTCAAGGCCATGGTCAGCCTTTTGCAATGAACTGTCAAGCATTCCTAGGCAACCGTTGTCACGGCAACAGGGTTGGAATGTGGGAGGAAGACCCTGAGTAAGAGATTCACCCAATCTGTCGAAGAAGTGGATGGGATTGGGGATCTAGAATATGGCACAAGTGACTAAGCAAGTTCCCAATGTAAATTTTTGCCCCCGCCCCTCTTTGAGTGAGTGAGTGAGTATGGTTTTACGCCCCTTTTCGCAATATTCTAGCAATATCATGGCGGGGGACTCCAGAAATGGTCTTCACACATTGTACCCATGTCGGGAATCAAACCCGGGTCTTCGGCGTGAGGAGCGAACGCTTTAACCACTAGGCTACCCGACCGCCCCCACCCCTCTTTGAAACCAAATGTAGTATGTTGTGGGCAGTTACATTATCTGAGAGAGAATTTCAATATTTTGGACCCCTCTCTTTTAATGCTGGATGCTCCCTTTTACAGATAGACCTCAGACGGATACAATGTGTGACCAGTTATGGGTGGTATATTGCTAAAATCGGCCTCAATATCAAATTGGTCACTCACGCCACATACACATATTCTTCACATATTCACTGCAATATTGTATCAGTGATCCAACAATTACACTAACGGGAGCCGGAATTCAGACTTGCTGACTTGGTTGATGCATGCCATCGTATTCCAATTGGATCGATGCTCATGATATCAATCACTGGATTGTCTGGCCCTGACTTGATTATTAACAGACTGCCGTCATATAGCTGGAATATTGCAGAGTGAGGCGTTAAAAAACAAACAAAACTTTCAAGTATGGAAAAGATACCTTGCTGTTTGATTATGATACTGTCTGTGTCTAGAATTATCAAACTTATTGAAGCATACGTAAAATGTATTTAATAAAACAAATTGCAACAGAAACAAATCGTTTTGTTTCTAAGTCAGAAATACCTGAATATTCACATACTAAAAGTCTTTAGAAATCTTAGGTGGGGAACATTATCCAAATTAAGATTAATTATGAACATACCAATACTTAATTTTTTTTTCCTGAACTGTTTTTTAATTTTTTAAAGACATATCTTGAAACTTTATATTTTTAAGCAATATATCTAGTGAAAGGTTATAATTTTATCTTTATATTGATATAAATCTGAAAATGTTAATTTAAAACAGTAAACAAATATTTTAGATTTATATGCATTTTTTATCCATTTTGACATGGACGGATTTATAAGTGAGAATTGTTTTACGCCCATTTTAGCAGAATTCAAGCAATATCCCGGTGGTGGACACCCGAAATGGGCTTCTCACATTGTAGCGATGTGGGGAACGGAACCTGGGTCTTCCGTGTGAAGAGTGAACACTTTAACCACTGGGCTACCCCACCGCCCCGTATACGAGTTTGAGTAGGTGAGAGTAAGTTGGGTTTAACGCATCTTTCAACAGTATTCCAGTTATATCACGACGTGTCAGTTTAATGAAGGAGGAAAGCCCGAAGTGATGCAGGTCTCGTTTACCACTTTAGCGAAAAACCACGAGCACGGGTATGGTGCTGACAAACCTAAAAACATAATCGGGGCGAACCGGGAATCCAACTAAAAAATCATAGGTTTCTGGCGTGCATAAGGGACGCAACTCTGCACAGCGAATTTCGGCGCCTCAGACGACTGGGCCCCCCGTGCCCCTAGACACGGTCATGTCTATCACAGTCAGTCAGTGAGTTGATGTTGTTTTACACCGCAACCAGCAGTGTTCCAGTTGCGTCACGGCGGGCTGTAAATATACGGAACCCTTTTCGGGCCATTTGTTTTTTATTTTGTACTTGAAATTTCAAGATAGCAAGTTGAAAATTCAAGATACTAAGTTGAAATTTCAAGATACCGACCTGTAATTTCAAGGTACTAACTTGGAATTTCAAGATACATAAGTTGACATTTCAAGATGTTATGTTGAAATTTCAAGATACTAAGTTGAAAATTCAATATACATACTAAGTTGAAATTAAAAGAAAATGATCTTGATATTTCAACTTAGCATCTTGAATTTCAACATAAATTTCAAGATACAAAGGGGCGGTCGGGTAGCCTAGTGGTTAAAGCTTTCGCTCGTCACGCCGAAGACCCGGGTTCGATTCCCGACATGGGTACAATGTGTGAAGCCCATTTCTTGTGTCCCCCGCCGTGATATTGCTGGAATATTGCTAAAAGCGGCGTAAAACCATACTCACTCACCCATGTTATAATCTTAAAATTTCAACTTAGTATCTTGAAATTTCGTGAAAAAAATAAAAGAAACCAATGGCCCTGAAAGGCTTCCGTAGAAATATGCGATTGACGCCAATTCGACGGCATGAGCAACGATTGACGCAGTGCATTAACACTTACTTCACTGTGCTTTGCATTAATATTTTGTCGGCACATATTATGTCGTGGGTAGCACGGCGTTTTAAAAGGGGAGAGGTTAAAATAATATAGCAGCTCCATATGTTAAAACTGGCATAACCAGCGAAATATATGTTTGTAAAAACATTGTAGGGTATACCACTCATTGCCTTACAAGTGCTATTAAAAGACCGAGTGCTCTACTTGCTGATTGAACCCTAGCCCCAGCTGTGGTACTGTAATCTCAATGCTCTTGTTACAGTAGGCCGAGATATGTATATCTATCAGCTGTGTTTAACACAGTATTGATCGTCACGATATGGCTGAAATATTGCCGATGTGACGTAAAGCATTAACTCACTCACTCACAGTATTGGCACAAGTAAATACTTGACAAGGTCGTGGTATAGCATGAGTAATGCACTACCTCAGATTTATCCCCATAAAGTTGCATATTATTCTTTAGGCCCTCAAGCACGGTTGGGAGATACGACTCCGTTTCCGTCAAAAGAACTACATTGTGTACATGTGCCAGCATATAGTAAAACTCATATGTACCTCCGTTCACTCTTACTCCAGGATCTAATTCCTGAAGTGCAAGGGTTAAGTTGTTTATAAACAGGCTGAATAATAGGGGCGACAAAGGGCATCCTTGTTTTACACCACACTTGAAACTGAGAAAACCAGCCTGTTGTAAAACCATTAACTCTTTCACAACTGCAAACATTAATATAAATAGAGTGTAGCGCTTTCCACATTATACCTTTAACCCCCAGTTCACTAAATTTGTGCCATAATATACGTCAATCCACTGAATCGTATTCTTTCCGAAAATCGATGCACTACCAGGAGTCCCACGGGATTAAAAAGTAACCACAGACATATATTGTATCGATAATAATGAAATATATATCGTGCATCGTGTGTATAAGCACATTCAGGAATATGCCCAGCAACCTCTACTAGGTATATCAGTTGTATTCACAGAGTGCCTATAAATTCAGACGACATTACATATAGACGGGCATGCATACATGCCTACAGCAGGCGACGTATGACTAATGCTGAGCTTCCTATATGTGGTGATGAATGATATCCGCGTCGCAAACACTACACACATTGTTGTACTTATTCAGCATGTGATAAGTGTGAGATTTATCATCGCAGTGGCCTGTCTCTTGTACAGTGTCCATATATCACAGAGCGGCATATGCCATGACGGATATACCAGAATTACCAGCCTGGCACTTTAACATAAGATAAGATATTGATGATACAATAAGAGCCCTCAAATTGCTAAAATATCAACACATATTAAACATAGTGGTTAATAATATTTGCAGATACAGTACTGTTTGTTTGTAGTTTAACGCCGCACTCAGCAATATTCCAGCTATATGACGGCGGTTTTTAAATAATCAAGTCTGGACCAGACAATTCAGCGATTGATATCATGATCATCGATCTACGCAACTGTGATACGATGACATGCATCAATCAAGTCAGTGAGCCTGACCACCCGATCCCGTTAGTCGCCTCTTACGACAAGCAGAGTCGCCTTTTACAGCAAGCATGGGTTGCTGAAGACCTATTCTCTTCCTCGATATTCACGGGTCGATATTTCTTTGTAGTCATATCAACTGTATATATCGTATATTACATGAGCCACACTAGACTAATGCTTAAGCTCTGAAAATATATAGTTTTGATAGAATCAAATAACTAAATTTAAATTCAAAGGAGCCCCAGTGCCTGCCCCTGGGCAAAATCTAGACTTGCTTTATTTAGGCCCATAGCATTGCAGTAACGGCTGGACGACGAGGAAAATAATATGGTTCTGTGAGTAGAGTTTTACGCCGCTTTTAGCAATATTCCAGCAATATCACGGCAGGGGAAACCAGAAATGGGCTTCACACATTGTACCTATGTCGGGAATCGAACCCGGGTCTTGGGCGTGACGAGTAAACACTTTAACCACTAGGCTACACAAGCGCCCTTATTAAAAATAGAATATGACTGTCAACCAGTTTTTTCTGGCTATTACTTGTTTGAATTTATAACCAGCCTGTGTCTGAAATGTTTGTCCTTCGGCGTGACGAGATACCGCTTTAACCACTCGGCTACCCCACCGCCTCTAAAATGATTCAGGGACAGTGAAGAAGAAGAAGAAGAAGAAGAAGAAGAAGAAGATTTTATTAACGTGTCACTTGTATACCACATTTTTGTTAAAACAAGTTAAAAATAAAGTTACCTTAAAGTTGTATACAACCAATCGCACAGCGATTTATGAGAGACGGTACATTGTTAACAGGCACATAATAAAAAAAAATAGCAAAAGCTAAATATTAAAATATACATACATTTATATACAATACAATGTGGCATATATGAGAAACACAAATAATCCTCCAATTCATTTGCCAAGTATAAACAAAGCATTATTACGTAAACATCCCTATGAGGTTGTGTACCGTTTGTACCGCTGCAGAACAGAAGGGGCGATATCTGTCACCTCCAGCCTGTACAGGCAGCCCGTGCATCACCGACATGTTTGACCTCTCCCCTCACATTGTTCATTTATCAACGCTCGTGTTGGACAAATCACCACTTGTCCCTAATTTACTTCCCATCCACTTCACATCACTGTAACAAGCCCGCTGTCGGAGTTTAATTGCCGAGACGTTGTCTAACATTGTCATTCATTATCTTACAGCGGACACCGTGCTACGCATGGCAACAGTGATAAATGTACCACCCCTTATGGAAACGGGAGCTTTAGAAATACCTTTATTGGTGCTTTGATATGATTGGGTATTTCTGAATACGGATCGTGTGTTCCCTCTGGTTTATATAGTCAGACGAAGCAGAAAACAGATGCTCACATCTACTGTCTGGTTGAAAACACTTCCGACCTCGAACTGTGCATTTCCTGAGGCTTTCACATTGTGGAGTTCTGTTTAAATATTGTATGATATTCAACAGCGATGGTCCGAGAAGAGCTCCTTGTGTTCATCGTTGGATTTACGGTAAGTGCCTTTTTGAAAGCTATGTTGACCTAACTTAAATGCAGACAAAGAAAAGACGATGAATACAAACACATTTAAAAGAAAACAACGAAAGCAAATTGTTTTTGAAAACGACGAATATTATATAAAAATTATCAACAATTGGCTTTTATGACTGTACAGTAATAGCTTGGTATATTGTGACCGAGACGAGACGAGTTTGGGCTGTTTTTTTAAGAAAGAAACGACACGTGGGAGTATTTCAGCGGTTTATTGTACGATGAAAAACGACCACAAGTCGTCTATTTCTTCTATGAGATATCAACATTATTTTTTTGTTTGTTTGTTGTTTAACGACGCACACAACAATATACCAGCTATATGGCGGCGGTCTGTAAATAATCGAGTATGGACCAGACAGACCAGTGATTGACATCATGAGCATTGATCCACACAATTTGGAGACGATTAAATGCATCAACCAAATCAGCGAGCCTGACCACCCGATCCCGTTTGTCGCCTCTTACGACAAGCACGATCGCCTTTTACGGCAAGCATGAGTTGCTGATGACCTATTCTAACCCGGATCTACACGGGTTCAACACTATACATGTACGGCCTCATTAAGGATGGTGATAAAATGTACACGCTTTAAAAACATTTATCCGTATTTAAATAATGATTACTCCCTCAATAGAATTCGACCTCGACAATGTCGGACAGGTCCATTTCATGCACAGGTGGGTATTACCCGCATATTCTCACAATCCTCATGTCGATTACCTGTACCTTTTCTTCGTTTTCTCCAAATACCGATTGTCATATCTCTCCCGCTTTTGGATGCGATCGTTCGGCCACTGCGTTCATCTGCGTTTCCCAGCTACATCTATGACGAACCACTCACTAGACACTCTAAAAAGTAACGTCGTCCGATATGCGAAGTCATCAAGTTGCGAGCACATGTTCGAATCACAAGAAATTACGTCATGATAGAACAATGTGTTATCGCGAATTCTATCGCTAAAGCGCTCGGTTCAAAATTAAAATAAAGAGGTATCTACTCTACAGTGGGACTACATCAAATTTCTAACACACAGTAGGTTTATCTCCTAAATAAACCATACTTCGCTCGTCATTGTTCTTTGCGATTTATCGCGTAACTATCTTATATAAAAATAAAGAAATATAGGATGAGTGGGAGTAGTTTATTTCTTATAAGAATTATCAACATTTTGTACAGCCTTTTAAGTATGTCAGTCAATTGCACAAGCTTTAAACACATTTACCCGTATTTAAATAGTGATGACTCCCCGAATACAATACGACCTTGGCAATGTCGGACAACTCCATTTTATGTACAGGGGGTATAAGTTTGGTATTCTCAGAATGTTCACGTCGATTAAATGCAGCTTTTCTCCCAATACCGATTGTCAGATTGCTCCGACTTTTGGGTGCGATCGTTCGTTGCTATCTGCGTTGTCCAGCTACATCTAAGGGGAACAACTCAATAGACGCGTCCCTCTTAAAAATAACGTCGTCTTAGTAACGACGTCGTCAAGTTGCGTGCGCATGTTCGAATCTCCAGAAATGACGTCATGATAGAACAATATTTTATCGTGAAATATACCACGCTTCGTTCTTCATTGTTCTTAGTGATTTATCGCGCTTTATCTTGTACATTAGATATAGGGGCGTAGTTCAGTGACCGTAGAACCTTCTTGTCAATACATCGGTACTTGATAATCATGTAGTTAGTTACCCGTGAAGATCCAGCGTAGAATAGGTCTTTAGCAACCCATGCTTGCCGTAAAAGGCGACTCTGTTTGTCCTAAAAGGCGCTTCTTACGACAAGCATGGGTTGCTGAAAACCCATTCTAATCTGGATATTCACAGAATGAAGATTCTAATGTGGAGGGGCGGTCGGGTAGCCTAGTGGTTATAGCGTTCGCTCGTCACGCTGAAGACCCGGGTTCGATTCCCGACATGGGTACAATGTGTGAAGCCCATTTCTGGTGTCCCCGCCGTGATATTGCTGGAATATTGCTAAAAGCGGCGTAAAACCATACAAAACTCACTCACTTACTCACTCACTCACTCTAATGTGGATCTTCACGGGTCGCTCAGATTGTCATCAAATGGTTGATTTTTAAACACTGTCGAAGGACAATGTAAACTTACAGCATCCTCTCCTAATCAGGATGTTGTACGTACAATACTGAAAACGTGGACCTTGACGCTGACTGGAAGCGTTTGAAGCTGTAAACAGTTACATTAAGGGTGCTTAACAAGTCAATTATACTGACACGTGGAGCTCACATTCAGAATGGATATGTCACTTCCAGTAAACCGAGTGGATGCTTGTGTTTGAAGGAGAATGATGGTCGCTCTGTGGCTTGTGATCCCTCCACAACTTTCACAATGAACGGTTCATTAAGTGACCCTTGACCTTTGACCTCGCGCGCTGTCAGGAGACAGTTAACATCGAGGTGAAGTGTTAAGAATTTCCAAGTAATCTTGTGTTCAGTTTCATTTTCTCTAGTAAACGTACATTTGGAGAATTGGGGTCACGCGGCAATAGGGTTTCGCGAATTATTAATTTAACTGAATTACTAGATGAAGGAAATTTAATTTCATTTGTGATTTAAGAATTATTGTGAATAAAAAGCGAAAATAGTGCCAAGTAGAATTACATGAATTAATATGATATATTGAAGGTTGATTTAACTCTGAGTTTCTTTTGTTTTGTCACAATATTATTTTTTTCACGGATCTTCACGGGTCGGGAGGGGATTGACAAAATGTAAGGGTTGGCACAGACAGGCAGACAGACAACCACCACATTCAGCATCTGGCTTTGCTTTATATTACATTTTCATTTAAGTTATGTTAATGTAAGATAATAAAAAAAATCCATGAAGATTTTAGTTTCCGTATAGAAGTGCCCGTTTTTGAAAAATAAAAACAAGGCATATTATCAAACACTTACACGTGTTATTACGCTGGCAAATAACTCAGTATTAATAACCTTTCGTAACTTGACAAGGTAGACACAATTTTATGGATAACAACTTGTTTAATATTAAAGAAGTTGTTATCCATTAGTATTAAAGAGGTTGTTATCCATAAAATTGTGTCTACCTTTGTCATCCGTCAACTTCTAAGTAATGCCTATCAAACAATTTCTTTCGTAACTTTAATTGCAGCTTTCAATAGGGAAATAAATTAAAAGGACACGAATCACGCTTGGTATTTGCATGGTAGAACACTGGTAGTCCTGCACCATGACTGTGGAATATATTTATTTTGTGAAAAAAGAAATATCTAGAAATGCATACAAAGTCTAGCCAGCTCAAGCTAGCTCTATTCTGAAATCAGCATAGGGAATTTTTATTTTATTTTTAGAGTCAAGAAGGTAATATGTAATATAAGATTTCAGAGACTAAATGTTAGTCTAGAATTACTGGTATAGCCCAGTTATCCTCATTTCAGCCGTTAGCATACGTTGACTTTAGTCACTTAAAAACGTCAAGCGTTATAAACTAACTAGATTTTGATAAAATGTTTCGAGTTATCTCTTTATGATCCTTGCTACAAAACTAGAGCAGGTATATAATTTTAAACATCTCTATTCACTTTGGCGATATAAAAAACCTCCCCGAATCGCAGTACGGTGAAATTCACAGTGCAACAAAGGGAGACAACTCAACAGTTTTTGGTCACATACAATATGATTCTTCAATAATTGATTCCTTTATATAATTAGTGACAGATTTCTAAGTAAAAAATTCATTGAGAACAAAATACAACTCCTTACAATCATGCACAGTTTTATATATTTGCGGGGCGGTCGGGTAGCCTAGTGGTTAAAGCGTTCGCTCCTCACGCAGAAGACCCGGGTTCGATTCCCGACATGGGTACAATGTGTGAAGCCAATTTCTGGTGTCCCACGCCGTGATATTGCTGGAATATTGCCAAAAACGGCGTAAAACCATACTCACTCACTCATATATTTGCAGGGAAAGACAAAAGGACAGCTGCAAAATGCAGATCGCGCAATATGTTGACTTTCTAGTAATTATAATAGTATTTAAATATCATAACTGTTCTAGGCCATCGCCTGTCTACTCGTTTATATAAGACATGAACCTAGTCTATTATTGCTCGTCATTTTGTAAGTTACGTGTACATATAGTAACTGACTTACATATATATTAACCTGCAGAAGCAATCACTGTTTATGTATGTATGTGTGTGTGTGTGTGTGTGTGTGTGTGTGTGTGTGTGTGTGTGTGTGTGTGTGTGTATGCCTGTCTGTCTGTATGTATATACACACACATCAACGCATATAAGCGTTAAACGATACCATCGTGTATCGTTAACGAGAATGTACGTCCTGAAATCTCATCAGCAAATTCAAACTTTTAAGCTTTCTGTTTCCTAAAAAATCTTCACGGAATTGGGGGAACGAGACGCGAAGTAGAACTTTCGAGCTTTCTATTTTAAAAACAAACAAACTGTGTACCGAAGTGAGAAGTTAGAAGCGGTGTTGAGCTTTAAAGTTTCCATCTAAAACAAATATTTTCAGGAAATGAGAAGTAAGAAGCGGTACAGAGCTTTCAAGCCTTTCATCTTTCAAAAATTATGTTTGAAAGATAAATTGTCAACTGTTACCCGGATCGATCGTAACTCTCATACTTAACATAGATTTACGGCAAACGTAGAGTTACGATCGGTTTGTGGAACGGGGCCCTGATCACTAATGTGATATTTTCGTTTTTGAATTTTTCGAGCTCTCTGATATTTAGAATTGGAAACACACAACGAGATGAAGATAGGTACCATACAAATGCAAGTGGGGTCATTTGTTCTTGCTTATTTGGAGATTTATCGCCCTATTCTTCAAATCTATAGCTTTATTTGATCTAGTAGCATCAAACAAACATGGCAGATATGTGTCCGGTATAATGCATGTGTATCGGAAAGGTGATTCAGTAAAATATATTTAGAAAGCACTTTTTTTTATATTGGACGTTTACTAGATTTAGTTTCCTTTTCTGATTTGCGAAAGGCATTTTCGGGGAATCCAAATTATACTGTGTGTGTCCTTCCAACATCAGGGGAAGTCTCCTTGTAGTAACTAAGAGTTGTGTGAACTGATATATGAAAATAAACGTCTCTCTCTCTCTCTCTATCTCTCTCTCTCACACACACACATACACACACACACTAAAAATAAAAAACACAAACAAAACAAAACAAAACAAAACAATGGAACTAAGACTCAACTAAAAGGATATTAGCTTTAGCTTCCTATGGCCCAAATCGACCCCGTTATTTTCCACTACTCTCAATAAAATGTGACGTGGGTACAAATTATCGACAAATGTCAACACAAGGAACACCTCTAGAATACAGTAAATAATATATACAGAATAAACTCCATAACTGTGCATAAAAATGAAAAATAATGAATCGAAAAAATAATATAGAGGATATTTCATTTTTCGAGTGAAATATCATCTTTCTCTCATCGTTGTTTCGTGAAAAGCGACTACGCTTATCGTAAGAGGCGACTAACGGGATCGGGTGGTGAGGCTCGCCGATATGGTTGATGCATGTCATCAATCCCAATTGCGTGGATCGATGCTCATGATATCAATCGCTGGATTGTCTGGTCCATACTCGAATATTCACAGACCGCCGTCATATAGCTGGAATATTGCTGAGTGCGGCGTTAAACAACATGGAATAAAATGACTATAGGTAGCGCCTTTAGCGCACCATTTGTCAGCGCCATGACATCAAATAACCACCATCTCGCGAGATCAGAGGTGTGTTCACGAGGACGGGCGATCGCGTTAGCCTCCAGCAAGGAAACATGATGAGTCCTTCCGGATCGGAAGGCGCGGACTCGCTCTCACGGCTCGCTTCCATATTTAAACACATCTGTGACGTCATTCTATTGTTTGAACGCTCCATTATTTTTCAGGAATGGAGAGTTGCTTGTCAACTGTACATATCTTGAAGCAGCATTTGAATTTTTCAAATATTTTCAACTACAGAATATTTTGTCAAAGTGTAAAAGTAGGGATGAGTTTTAAGTAGGAAAATATCCTCGTAACTCTCCATTCCTTAAAATAATGGGCCTCGGCCCCTGCGGGGCCTCTGCTCCATTATTTTTAAGGAATGGAGAGTTACTCGGACATTCCCCTCTACATAGCGTCGCCGGGGATCAAAATGGCCATAGCTACAAGTGTTAAAGGTTCACACATTTAACTAGCACGCAATCAAGGAATAAAAAGGAATATCACAAATGTGTGCATAATTATTTGAAAATTCATATCTCAATGATGATCTGCCACCAAATACTCCTTCTGCAAAGTTTTAATTCTTAAAAATGCATGTACTGTCCTTTCCAAACACGTAATATTGTTATGCCAATGCAAATAGTATAATTAATAAATACTTGCAACGATGTCATCTCAGTAAAGCCTACGTTACACTATCCAAAAATTTGATAAAAAACTTTCTTCGTCCATTTTGGGCTGTTCACACTCATCAAAGTTTTTGACAGGCCGTCAAAGTTTTGGTTGTAATTATCTTGCCAAGGTGGATGCTACTGACGAAGAATTGTTGGCTGTTGTCATATGTATTTTGTGTGATGCCATGTTGAGAAGGCGGCGTCGGGGTAGGCATATTTGGTCCCGAGAATGGCTGCTCGTTGTTGAAACAAATCAATCAAATCTTCCAACATCTCGTCAGTCCAAGATAGTAGACTCATTTTGACTTGACTCTATGCACTTCCGGTTGAAAAGGTGTAAATGTTCCTTGCAGTCTGATTGGCTAAATTAAATCAACGTCATCAAACTTTGATCAAAGTTTGACGAGAAATAGGATCGGTCTCTATTCCATCAAAGTCCCGTCAAAATTTTGACCAAGATTTTTATCAAAGTTTTAAGATAGGACTTTTAATCCACCTGAGCTGATGGACTCCATCAGGCTCGCTGACTTGGTTGATGCATGTCATCGATCCCAATTGCAAGGATCGATGCACATGATATAAATCACTGGATTGTATGGTCCTGTCTCGATTATTTACAGACCGCCGTCATATAGCTGGAATATTGCTGAGTGCGGCGTTAAACAACCAACCAACCATAACGATTTTAATGAGTTGTCAAAAATTAGTTATGTCACACATAACGATATGTCACACATTACTATAGAAGTCTTGGAGATGTAACGGTTTTCGGTCAAAGGGACGTAACCCCTCAAACTTAGTGATCAGTGGAGTTATTCCTCTACTCCTCAAGCCGGGGAACGTATAGATATGCCACCAGATGTTTATAAGAAAATGACTAAGGAAGCAACACCATTTCCTTTTATCAGTTGGTTTGTTGTTTTACACCGCACTCAGCAATATTCCAGCTATATGACGGCGGTCTGTAAATAATCGTGTCTGGACCAGACAATCCAGTGATTGATATCATGAGCATTGATCCACGCAATTGGGATCGATGACATGCATCAACAAAGTCAGCGAGCCTGACCACCCGATCACGTTAGTCGCCTCTTACGACAAGCATAGTCGACTTTTACGGCAAGCATGGGTTGCTGAAGACCTATTCTACCCCGGATCTACACGGGTCTCCTTTTGAGCCGTCCTTTTTATTCAACACGGCTCAAGCTTGAGTGGTCAGAACAGTGCTGTAAATCGGACAAGAGCCTATGCATCCTTTACTTTGGTAATGGGGAATTTGGGGAAATCCGCAGAAAGTTTATCCTTTTCCATCCGAATCAAATTCGTGCACATCGGCCTCTGAAACATTCTTGATGAAGATATAAAAATAGCATAAATGTATATATGTTTGTTTGAGATTAGATTTTCTTTTTCAGCTACAGATGTAAAACCAGATATTTTGTTAATCAAAATATGAGCCTGAAGATTTTTAAAAGTAAAACACCTTGAAACATTTTTTTTTGTGGCAGACAATTTCACGTTGTTTCAACAGACTGAATCCTAATATTTTATTTCAGAATATCAAATGGTCTGTACTTTAACCTACAACGTAAGGCACAACAGAAACTACCCTTAGGCTTCAGACAAAAAACAAATGAATGTGACTGTACATAAAGTAAATGGAAAACCAAGTGATGTGTCGTCATTTCCAGAATAACACATATGACAGTCTTCCTAAACGTTTCAAGAGAAATGGATAATCAAGAAATGAGTTATCACCTGCAAACATGTCCACGCAGTGTGGTGATATCTGATATCTCTCCCGAATGTGATACGATCCTGGTCTCTGTCCTCGCCAGTCACCGCCCGCCCATACTGCCACGTTTTCAGATCCATGGACCTACAGCAACAGTTAATACAATTATACAATCATAAAGACCGCCTCCGTGGTCTAGTGGTAGAGCGTCCACCGGAGAGCGGAAGGTCCGGGGTTCAATCCCCGGCCGCGTCATACCGAAAGACGTTAAAATATGGTACTTGTTGTTACCCTGTCTGGCGCCCGGCATTAAGGGGCTAAAACAAGGACTGGTCGGCTCGGAGTCAGTATACTGTGTCTGAGTGGGGTATTCATGTAAAAACTGTGTCATGGTATCTCAGTGGGCTAGCACTATCAATCGGCATAAGTCCGGACCAGTACAAGCAGCCACACACACACACGTGCATGATGTCGCTATATAAGTGCAATAATCTTGGACGCGATGTAAAACCCAATTTCGCCTCACCTAATGAGATGTCCTCACATCTTTGTGTAGCGATAGCGAGCACTAAGATCTGATTTTATTGATATTGTTCTTCCACAGGAAAACGATTTTCTTACTGCAGTAGAGAATATAAAGCAAACGCGCACCACCAGTTAGCGATCAGTCGATCATGTTTCCAAGATCTCTCAGACAATGCAAAAAAAGATTTCCCAGAAATGTCAGAAATATTTTTCTTAAGCAGATGGTGTGCGGGTCGGGGAGACTGTCCCTCCGCCTTCTGTCCTTCAACAACCCCGGGGGTAAGGGCAACAACGGCAACTACTGCGACGGGTTCTCCATCTTCAAACACTCGCCGTGTGACCACCAGTTCACCATATGCCTACACACTGTACACGGGTAAGTGCGTGTGTGACATCACAATTAATAAGGTACAGAATGCTGGAACGGGGTACATCCTATCCTGCAATATGACGTAATTATAGCTGACTGTGGTCCTAACAGGGATTTGTTGTACAATAAACGCTTTCGATTATTAAAATTTGACTGACCTGAGTCAACAAGTTTATCACATTTCAGGGTTTACTAGATTCAATTAACTTTGGACAGAACCTGAAACAAAATGTATAAAATGCAGCCATAGATATTATACAAAATGGCCGAGATGCAAAATCATCGTCAATGTTGTCTTATTGATTCTAAAGTATTTATATGAACAATCGAAAGTTATATTTCGCTGACGCATGTCACAATACGCATATACTACCAATACCTAGTTAATCATATTCATAACAATGTCTTTATTCATTATTGAATCGGTAAATGAAACCAGTTAGCTTGAACGATGACGACACTTGTATGCTGTATGCTAACCGCACCGCACCCAAACGGGTTCAGTAGCTATGGGCAACTTTGGTCAACTGAAGTATGCGCTCCAAAAGTGAGTGAGTGAGTATGGTTTTACGCCGCTTTTAGCACTATTCCAGCAATATCACGGCGGGGCACCCCAGAAATGGCCTTCACACATTGTACCCATGTCGGGAATCGAACTCGGCTCTTCGGCGTGACGAGCGAACGCTTTAACCACTAGGCTACCCGACCACCCCTAAAAGTATCATGAAATATACATGCTATGCTCGGTCGTCAGAAGATCAGATCTGAAAAATGCCTGATAAAGACACTAACCCCTGGGTCCTTTCCCGTGGTTCTCGCAATCTCCAGTTACCCGCCCTTGATTTCCATTTGCCAATTTAATTGGCTACGCTACTAGGTCTAACGTACCAATCAGAATGCGAGTTACAATCCAGCCTCAATGTTGGGTTGGCAAGTCCCATTGATTGAGATCGAGTTTGCGATTTGAAAAAACGACTGAAACGCAAAAGAAAGCCTCGAAAATCTTTTTGATGGAAATGATGTCATCATGTGCATTAAAACAGGCGGTGGCTTTGTTTTCTAGGTAAAACGAGTTACCTCCCTTACCCTTTCCCCTATTTCGACATCACACTCCGGCGCAGTGGTGACTTAGCTGGTCGCATGGAACCCTGGGTAGGAGAGTGTTTCGACATTTGATAGATCGTTTGAAAATCAAGGGCGGGTAATTTGCAATCGTTAGAACCATGCCAATGGCTGTCTGGTGCTTTATAAGTAAAGTATTAGTGTTATTGTTATTATGATTGTATAATTGTATTAACTGTTGCTGCAGGTCCATGGACCTGAACAGGTGCCAGTATGGGCGGGCGGTGACTGGCGAGGTCAGGGACCAGGATCGGACCACATTCGGGAGAGATATCGGGGGTGTCAGGAACCCTATTGTGTTTCGCATGACATCACTTCCGGTAAGAAATATAAGAGGATAAATAGGATTTTTAATGTTTGTTTCTTGTGTCGGACACGAACTGTGAAAGAAAACAAACATGGAGATGCAGTAACACCGACAAGGCTTCCGTTCCACAAAACGATCGTAGCGCAACGACTGTCGTAAATCTCTGTTAAAGTATGGGAGGTACGATCACCTTAGCGCTGCATAGCTTTGTGGAACGGACCCCATGTTCACTGCTAAATATAACCGCTCGCAGTCACCTGGCAGCCGTTTTTACCCGAATTGGGGCGGTCGGGTAGCCTAGTGGTTAAAGCGTTCGCTCGTCACGCCGAAGACCCGGGTTCGATTCCCGACATGGGTACAATGTGTGAAGCCCATTTCTGGTGTCCCCCGCCGTGATATTGCTGGAATAGTGCTAAAAGCGGCGTAAAACCATACTCACTCACCCACTTACCCGAATTATACTCACCTGATCAAAACTCAACGATTCCACCTCTAGACTTTCGTATCGGCCCCAACATTTCCTGCAAATGTATACGACAGCAGCACTGGGAAGATGTATAAGACCTGTCAGTACCTTCGTGAGGCAGCTCACAGAGCCATGACAACATCGTCAACGGATACGTCAGAGGTGTCAAGCACGCCGCGTTTGGCCTATCCAGCGATTGAGAACTGATTCAGCGATGTTTGCTTCAGCGTTGCATGCTGCGTCGAGCTGATGAGAGAGCCAGGATGTACCAACATCGCCGTGAACCTTTTTCCGCCAACTCAACACAGGTGGTTGACATATATGGCGGTGGCAGAGTATTGATGTGGGTGGAAATCTCCCATACCAGTAGAACAAACCTGGTGCAAGTGAAAGGTTTGCTTACGACCCAGCGCTTCTGTGATGAAATCCTACGGTTGCACATTGTTCCCATTATGGTGGCAGAGTATTGATGTGGGTGGGAATCTCCCATACCGATAGAACAAATATGGTGCAAGTGACAGGTTTGTTTACGACCAAGAGCTTCTGTGATGAAATCACACAGTCGCACATTGTTCCCATTATGGTGACAGTGTATTGATGTGGGTGGGAATCTCCCATACGGATAGAACAAATATGGTGCAAGTGACAGGTTTGTTTACGACCAAGAGCTTCTGTGATGAAATCACACAGTCGCACATTGTTCCCATTATGGTGGCAGTGTATTGATGTGGGTGGGAATCTCCCATACGGATAGAACAAACCTGGTGCAAGTGACAGGTTTGTTTACGACCAAGAGCTTCTGTGATGAAATCACACAGTCGCACATTGTTCCCAGCACGAGCCATGCTGACGTCATCTTTCCACACGAGCCGTGAACAGCACGTGTAACATTAATGTACGTACGGAACAACAATGTCCTCAAGTGCCACTCTAAGTTGGATTATCCTGAACCACCACAGCTGCAACAGTTTGCACTATCACTACAGGCCGAGTGGGTTAACATTCCTCAAAGTGTAATCCGTGCAGTCATTTCGTCCGTGGGCAGGAGATGCCAGGCAGTATTTGAAATTAATGGTGGTATTAAGGTACAAGAGGTATTGGGTTCTCATGACCTTGACCTCCGCATTTTCTGTGTAGTCATCATATTGGACAATTGTCGATTTTTGTCTTGTTTGTAATATGTCATCATTCATCAAGTGTTAAGATGTACAGTACACGCGTGTTACTCCACAAACCAAATATCTGGTTAATATGCGTTTCTGTTTTCTTGAGTATATTCAATCCCTACATGAAGACATAATACTCAGGAACAAAATTATGTTTTTCTTTCAGCCTAGACTACGAATCAAAGTTGGAATATGGGACGTGGATAGCAGCAACGCATACGACTTTGTTGACATCATGGCGAGTGACACGACCTTGACCCCAAGTCCAACCGAGGCTGGTTCCAGAGCCTCCCGACTTCTGATCAAGAGAAGAAGCTCGTATGTACATTTCATAATTTCAAGACTGAAAGACCACAGATTTTAAGTGCTACACGCAACATGCATCTAAATTACTACAATTAATTACTTAATGTAGACGTTATCGTTTCCAGTGAATCGTGCGAATTATTGGATCGTGTTGTTACGAAGTGGAGTATCCACGCCTGGTCCTAACTACATGACTAAATAGATACACAGGGGTCTGGGGAACTAAACGTAATTGTCCTTTGATGATGAAAAATGAGGAACTTAATTTAAAAAAACAACAACCAAAAAAACAAAGGGTAGATATGTATAACCACGAATGTAGGAATGGATGATTATGTTTAAGCAAAATACACTGCTTCAATGTATGAAGGACACGCATATTGGTCACAAGATAAAGATAGCCCGCGTCTTGCTCCCATGGCCGAAAATGTTATACTGACGATTGTAACTAAGTATGACGTGTCAAAATTCAGGTTCCGCATGTGCAGCGAATGCCATGGTCTGGTGGTAGTGTTTTCCGCGAAGTATGATGCGTTTCTGTGATTTGTTTGTTTGTTGTTTAACGCCGAACTCAGCAATATTCCAATTATATGACGGTGGTCTGTAAATAATCGAGTCTGGACAAGGCAATCCGGTGATTGACACAATGAGCATCAATCCACGAAACTGGGATACGACGACATGCATCAATCAAGTCAGCGAGCCTGACCGCCCGATACCGTTAGTTGCCTCTTACGACAAGCATACTCGCCTTTTTCGACAAGCATGGGTTGCTGAAGACCTGTTCTAACCCGGATGTTCACGGATCCGTTTCTACGAACCCGAATCAATGAGTGTTTAATACTTCTCCACTACATATGTATTAGTAACGTCACTTAACACCAGAGAGGCGGTCGGGTAGCCCAGTGGTTAAAGAGTTCGCTCGTCACGCCGAAGACCCAGGTTCGATTCCCGACATTGATACAATGTGTAAAGCCCATTTCTGGTGTCACCCGCCGTGATATTGCTGGAATAGTGCTAAAAAGCGGCGTAAAACCATACTCACTCACTCACTTAACACCAGAAAGCGCCCAGTAGAAACTACACATTAACTGTCCCCTGGTGAATATGTGTTCCAAAGGAGCTTTGGCACCGGTTTAACCGCAGTGTGAGTGTTCTGTTAATGAAAAATGACTGACCTTTTTGACAGATGGGTACAGACTTGAGCGCGAGTATGGTTTTACGCCGCTTTTAGCAATATTCCAGCAATATCACGGCAGGGGACACCAGAAATGGGCTTCACACATTGTACCCATGTCGGGAATCGAACCCGGGTCTTCGGCGTGACGAGCGAAGTACAGACTTGAAAGCATGGTATATTCTTCTATATTATCCAAAAAGGTAGAAAAAAAGAGTTTAAGAATAATTTACCGACATTTGCATTTTTGCGATTCTCAATGCAGCGCGGTTGAGGCGCTATGAACAACATCTGAACAAGAAATTAATTTTTTAGGAGTTTCTCTGTAATATAATTTTTTAATTTCTTTGCCACGGCTTGGCACTTACACCCGATAAAAACTTCACAATTAATAATACGTATTTTCTCGAAGGCCTTTGGCTATTGGTTAAACACCAACACAAGATGGCTGAACTCCATCTTGACCTTGACCTTTGTTTCAGTCTGATTGTTGACGTCAAATCCTACTGTGATCCCAACTACTATGGCGCGCAGTGTTCAGTGTTCTGTTCTCCCAGCACCAAGGGGCGGTACACCTGCCACCCGTACACTGGAGCCAAGACCTGCGCACCCGGTACACCTGTTTTAATAGTGTAGAATGGGTTTGTAAAATGACAATTTAAAAGGAGCTTGCATATATAACGGAGAGTGACTTGAAGAAAAATAACGCCTGTATCATTTCTATCCAAGTGCTGGAATCAATCTATCGCTCTGTATCTCTGATCAACTTTAACAGGGCACGGTTTCACGAAGCTCTAGTTCTAAACACTACGCTCTCATACCCATACGCATATACCTCAAATGGTATAAGCGCTTAAGTCTCTTTGTTGAAACGGACCTTGGGCAAATGGCCACAAATCGATTATCAAACGAGATTGGGTATAGCAATGTAATAAATTTACGCTTTGGTTATAGAAATGGCCAACATACAGTAAACTACGTTTATAACGAACTGACGGATAAAACGAACTAACATTTTTTGTCCCGACTATTTGCTGTAGTTATGTTGTTTATATGCTTATAACGAACTACGGTTATAACGAACTAAAATTAGAGGTCCCTTTGAGTTCGTTATAACCGTAGTTTACTGTATTTGCAAAAATCCTCAAAAGTTACACGAGTAGAAGATGTTTTTTTAATCCTATTAGGCTGGTACGGCATGAACTGTGAGGTCAACGTGGATGACTGCGCGAGTAGCCCTTGTCTAAACGAAGCCATGTGTATGGACAGACATCGAGGATATGTATGTGCGTGCGCAGATGGGTTCTTGGGTAAGTTGTGTAATACTTAAACTCTCCAATACAATATATGATGATTTTGGTATTTAAGCGAGTGAGTGAGTGTAGTTTAACGACGCTTTCAGGGGGCACGGGTGGCCCAGCCGTCTTAGGAGCCGCGATTCGCTGTGCAGAGTTGCGTCCCTTGGGCACGCCAGAAACCCATGATTGTGGGTTCGGCTGTTTCCTGATTGGTTAATAACAGAATCGCGGGACTTGCTTTCCAGTATTGCTTTGAACGATGTCACTGAATTCGTACTGTAGCCTACAGTTTGTGTGTGTTAATCAGTAAATAATCAGTCTGTTATTATTTGAAGAAGTTATTACAAGATTTGACTTCAATATTTTTTGCATTTAAGGAGTTATAAACGTCAAAACCGATGTTCACACTTTGCGTAAATCCGCTATATAATGGATTTACAGTTTGCAGAGCGTTTTAAGGTTTATAAGTCTACAAACGTAAACAATATTGAAGTCAATTATAAATTGTCTAAAATTGACTGTATAAATGTATATCAGAGCGTGTATGTTACAGTTGTAGTACTTGCGATGACATCGTGTTTCCGCTCCCTAATAAGATAGTAGTTCGAATCCCAGGGACTTGGTCGCCACATTTCATACCCGACCCCTCCTCACTATAACGCGCGGTATATCCCTGTTCTCCAGGTCAACGATGCGAGACAAGGATCAACCCCTGTCTGTCCGAACCTTGCAGCAACGGTGGGCTTTGTGAAGACACTGGCAGGGGTTTCACGTGCAACTGCCCGGTTGGTTGGGCGGGGCAACAGTGCACAATGGACAGAGACGAGTGCGCAAGCTACCCGTGTCACCATCACGGAACCTGTGTCGACTATGCGGGAAGTTACGAGTGTTTGTGTTTACATGGCTACACTGGCCGACTTTGCGAGGACAACATCAACGACTGTTTGAGCAGCCCCTGTATCAACAACGCTACCTGCATGGACGACGTAAACAGCTATCGTTGCGCATGCGCGACAGGATTTACTGGACGGTCTTGCGAGGTCAATATCAATGAGTGTTTAAGTAATCCCTGCGCCAACGGCGCTTCCTGCGAAGACGACGTAAACGGATACCATTGCACATGCGCGAATGGATTTGTTGGGGAATTCTGTGATGAAAATATCAATGATTGTTTAAGAAACTCCTGCGCCAATAACGCTTCCTGCGTAGACGACGTGAACGGCTATCACTGCGCATGCGCAGAAGGATTTACCGGGCAGTTTTGTGAGAATAATATCAATGACTGTTTAATCCATACCTGCAGAAACAACGCTACATGCGTGGACGGAGTAAACGAGTATCTTTGCGCATGCGCGGCTGGGTTCAGTGGTAAATTCTGTGAGGAGAATATCGACGACTGTTACAGCAACCCCTGCGCCAACGACGCCACCTGTATGGATGACATCAACGGCTATCGTTGCGCATGCGCATCAGGATATTTTGGCGACAACTGCGAGTTTGAAGTCAATGAGTGTATCTCTGATCCTTGTCAAAATGGAGGAACGTGCTCCGATAGCTTAAACGAGTTCTCCTGCAAATGTCCAGACGGATACGAAGGCAAATACTGCGAAAATAGAACTAACCCATGCGCCAGCAACCCATGCAGTCACAACGGATCATGCCACGCGAATACCACTGACTTTACTTGTGAGTGCCTGTCTGGGTACACTGGCACGTTATGCGAGGCCGAGGAGGACCCGTGCGTGAGTCGGCCATGTTGGAACGGGGCCACTTGTACCAGTCTAGGACCCGCGTTTACTTGCAGATGTCCCCGCGGGTTCACAGGATCCGCATGTGAAGTCGAGGTCAACGAATGTGACTCATCCCCCTGTCTGAACAACGGTACATGCGTTGATGAGGTGGGCCACGTGACGTGTAGATGTATGGATGGCTATTCGGGACACTTTTGTCAGATTGATATCAATGAATGTTCCTCAAGTCCTTGCCACAACAACGGAACATGCGTGGACAGGAAGGGATTCTTTAACTGCACATGTGATGAATTTTATGAAGGTAAGATTCTTTACTATAGTCTGAAATCACTTCCATGATAGGTGGGGTGAGGTGAGGTGAGGTGAAATGGGGCTTAACGTCGCGTCCAAGATTATTGCACTTACATAGCGACCCGGGTTCGATTCCCGACATGGGTAAAATGTGTGAAGCCCATTTCTGGTGTCCCCCGCCGTGATATTGCTGGAATATTGCAAAAAGCGGCGTAAAACCATACTCACTCATTCACTCATTTAAGTTAAGCCGAAGTGGTCGTGGTCGGCACGGGTACTACAGTACCCCAGGAACGTTTCTGTACATACAGAAAATTACCCAAGCCAAGCCTGTATTAGAATACAGAAACGTACCTGGTACATTAAACGGCGGACGAGTCCATATTCCCAACCCGAAACCGAAACCGGTTCATGTTGAAGTTCCGGTTTGCCTGATTACGAGTGCATGCGTGCATCGCGGATTATTAGAATAATTTACGTACGTCACTGTGTATGATTGTTTCCTATATGATATGCTGGAATCCATCTCATGCGACAGTATGACAGTACTGCCATTTTGAATTTAACCGCGGTTTGGCATACAGGAAGTGACGAATACCTAAAGAACCGGTTATGCGCATTGCACCCTGTGGCGGAATGGACTCATCCTAGGCTACAGGAGAGAATATTAAATGCTGTGCCCCTTAGACTTTGGTCTGTATGATTATTCACAAATTGCATTGGGTACGAGTATACGGTCTTTACGCGTCCTATCAAAGTACATTACTTACCAGACTTCTCGTGAATAGAACGACGCCTGTATGACTATTGTGTGTCTCCAAACCCTACAACCCGAGCAGTTTCCTCAAAGTACAACACGTAAGCGTCTCCATAGCCTACGACCCGCACGACTCCTCCAAACTACAGTCTGTATGCATCTTCTTATCCTACGACGAGTATAAATCCTCTGAAACAACAGTCTCTATGCATCTTCTTATCCTATGACAAGTATGACTCCTTTCAAACAAAAGCCTGTATGCATCTTCTTATCCTACGACGGGTATGACTCTTCTCAAACAACAGTCTGTATGTATCTTCTTATCCTACGACGCGTATGACTCCTCTCAAACAACAGCCTGTATGGATCTTCTTATCCTACGACGGGTATGACTCTTCTCAAACAACAGTCTGTATGTATCTTCTTATCCTACGACGAGTATGACTCCTCTGAAACAACAGTCCGTATGCATCTTCTTATCCTACGACGAGTAAGACTCCTCTCAAACTACAGTCTTTATGCATTTTCTTATCCTACGACGAGTATGACTCCTCTGAAACAACAGTCTCTATGCATCTTCTTATCCTACGACGAGTATGACTCCTCTGAAACAACAGTCTGTATGTATCTTCTTATCCTACGACGAGTATGACTCTTCTCAAACAACAGTCTGTATGCATCTTCTTATCCTACGACGAGTAAGACTCCTTTCAAACGACAGCCTGTATGCATCTTCTTATCCTACGACGAGTATGACTCCTCTGAAACTACAGTCTGTATGCATCTTCTTATCCTACGACGAGTAAGACTCCTCTCAAACTACAGTCTGTATGCATCTTCTTATCCTACGACGAGTATGACTCCTCTCAAACTACAGCCTGTATGCATCTTCGTATCCTACGATGCGTATGACTCCTCTCAAACAACAGTCTGTGTGCATCTTCTTATCCTACGATGGGTATGACTCCTCTGAAACAACAGTCTGTATGCATCTTCTTATCCTACGACGAGTAAGACTCCTCTCAAACAACAGTCTGTATGTATCTTCTTATCCTACGACGAGTATGACTCCTCTCAAACAACAGTCTGTGTGCATCTTCTTATCCTACGACGAGTATGACTCTTTGCTGTTTTCAGTTTTGATACGTCTTAAAAGACCGTAGTCTTTCGTGGTGTTCCGATAGAGTTTGTGCTTTTGTATCAATGGTGAAGACGTCCATGTTGCGTCCTGCAACCCGTTGAAACTTGTCTGACACACGTCTCACGTTACAAAAAGGCGTTGGATGTCAACGAAAGGAATGGATGGAAAGAGAAAAAGAACATCTCACTTTAGTCTCACCCCCTGTTTGAATAACTCAGTGTTTTGTATCATTCCTACACAGCACGAATAGCCCAGCTATCTAAGGCGCCACAATTCTCTGTGAAGAGTTGCGTCCCAGAAATCTGTGATCGCGTTTATAAATCGCAGATTGGCCTCATTATGTTTCTAGGTTTGTCATCACCACAGCCATATTCGTGGATTTCACCAAAGTGGTAAACGTCAAAGACCTGTACAGTTCTGACTTTCCTCCGATATCATACCCTGATATAATTAAAATAATGTTCAGGGCGGCGTCAAACCCAACTCACTCACTCACTCACTCACTCACTCATTTGTATCATTCTTTCTTTGCAGGGATACGTTGCGAGATTCCTATTCCCGCATCCTCAGTGCCTGAACAGCCTCTGGTCTCCACACAGAGCATGACAGCGACTTCACAAAGTGCCACCTCCAGCATCTCAACACCAGGGCTTATACACGGCGACACGGAATCCTCTACGGCTTCATTGACAGCCTCATCTGCAGCCTCCACCTACGCTGTAGATTCGAGCACGGACGCTGGAGGTCGTATCACGCCTACCCCGGCGTTAGATTCCAGCACTGATATCAGTACGGCAGCCAATAGACTTGCCTCAGAGATATACCAGACCGCATACACCACCATGGACCTCACATCCGCCATCTGGCCCACGCCAGTCAGTAGTTGGACCGAGAGTTGGGCCACAGAGACTTCTCAGATGACTGTTGGGAACGGAAGTGTCTCTACGGCAGAAGAGACAGCGCCGCATGGTGAGTAGACAGATAGCTTTTGTTTGTAATTAGGTGTTTGTGTCAATCCTAGAATTTTTCCAGAGCAGTAACTGATAACTATAACTGCACATAGGTGACACGTGTAGATCCGGGGTAGAATAGGTCTTCAGCAACCCATGCTTGCCGTAAAAGGCGACTATGCTGGTCGTAAGAGGCGACTAACGGGATCGGGTGGTCAGGCTCGCTGACTTGGTTGACGCATGTCATCGTATCCCAATTAAGTAGATCAATGATCATGATGTCAATTCCTGAATTGTCCGGTCCAGACTTGATTATTTACAGATCGCTTTCATGTGTCTGGAATATTGCGTAGGGCATCGTTAAACAACAAACAAACATGACGAAATACATCTGATGGTCAGGCTTGAAAGGACTTGGTGGTTCGACGAAAAAAATATTTTTTCTGACAAAAAGTCAAGTGCACTGACCCACCCACCACCCACTGTGAAGATTAAATAGCGAGTCACATATCAAAATGAGGCTGACAAGACAAACTCGGCATGTCTGCGCGCGCCAGTATGGCGATGACATTAGGATTATCAGGTTGTACATGAAACTTGTATAACTCAGGGACCGCCTCCGTGGTCTTGTGGTAGAGCGTCCGCCCGGAGAGCGGAAGGTCCAGGGTTCGATCCCGGGCCGCGTCATACAAAAAGACGTTAAAAGATTGTACTTGTTGTTACCCTGTCTGGCGCTCGGCATTAAGGGGCTAAAACAAGGACTGGTCGGCTCGGAGTCAGTATACTGTGTCTGAGTGGGGTATTCATGTTAAACTGCGGCATGGTATCTCAGTGAGCTAGCACTATAAACCGGTATCAGTCCGGACTAGTACAAGCAGCCACACACACACATACACGTGCATGCACGTCGCTATATTAGTGCAATAATCTTGGACGCGACGTTAAACCCAATTTCACCTCACCTATCCTATAACTCTGGGTATGACTCCTCTCAAACAACAGTCTGTGTGCATCTTCTTATCCTACGATGGGTATGACTCCTCTCAAACAACAGTCTGTATGCATCTTCTTATCCTACGACCCGTATGACTCCTCTCAAACAACAGTCTGTATGCATCTTCTTATCCTACGAATGAGTATGACTCCTCTAAAACAACAGTCTGTGTGCATCTTCTTATCCTACGACCCGTATGACTCCTCTCAAACAACAGTCTGTATTCATCTTCTTATCCTACGACGAGTATGACTCCTCTCAAAGAACAGTCTGTGTGCATCTTCTTATCCTACGACGAGTATGACTCTTTGCTGTTTTCAGTTTTGATACGTCTTAAAAGACCGTAGTCTTTCGTGGTGTTCCGATAGAGTTTGTGCTTTTGTATCAATGGTGAAGACGTCCATGTTGCGTCCTGCAACCCGTTGAAACTTGTCTGACACACGTCTCACGTTACAAAAAGGCGTTGGATGTCAACGAAAGGAATGGATGGAAAGAGAAAAAGAACATCTCACTTTAAATTTCCCAATCACCCAATTTCACCTCACCTATCCTATAACTCTGGGTCTTCGTGGATGATAATCTGACTGGAGCCGATAACTGACTGTCACTGGTTGACGATGCAGTGAATTGTTCTACTGTTTACACGCTTGGCGCTGCTGGTTAGCCTAATGGGTATGGTGTCCGTTTGTCACGCCTGCGACCTGGTTCGCTTCGACACTAGTACAATGTGTGAATCTTCTTCTTGGTGTTTCACAAACAGTTACATGAAATTTCATGAATAAAAATCAAAGAATTTACTCATTATCGTTTCAGACTCTTGTTTTCCGCTTTACCTCGAGGGGAAACTAGGAACGAAAGATGAAGAGGGTCTTAATGAAAAGATGACGCGCATGCTCAGAGACTACGCTGATCTGAATGGCAATTTCAGTGTCAGTTGTCAGTTCGCGTATTTCAAAGACGAAAAAGGGTAAGAGCATTTCGATTTTCTTCGCTGTTTACTTAATCTTGCGATGACGTATGCGCACTGCAACTGAATTCGCGATATGTCTGTTGGTAAGGTCGTGTTTAATGAGTATTATACTTTTTTTTGAAAAGTCACAATTCTGTTGATCAGCAAATCAGACGATCAGCATTATTAATGGCAACCGTCAAGATAGATACTTTGAACCATTTGAGCAAAATAGATACAAACAAATATGTCAATGAATGCGAATCTCTTGGACATCTTTTTAATGGATGTGAAAACGTTAAACAAATCATGATTCTTAAAAAAGATGGTTCCAAGAAATTACTGACACGTCTTTAGAAATGAATCAGACGTACCGTTTCTTCGTTTTCAACGCGGTTGGAATAGCACGACCCCAAAAATTGCGTCCGGTCAAATTACTCTCGTGAGCGAGAGGCATTCAGTGTTGTGTTCGAGACAGGAGCGATGGCGGTTGTGACGCCACGTGGTTATGGCGTGAAATGAGTCCAGGGTATTTATGTTTTGGAATGGGATGTAATTCACATGCTGTCTTTAAAACAATGGATAGTAGAAAATGGTATGTTTTCAATGAATTATTGAATAAAACGAGCGTTGGTTCCTAGACGATAAACGTGGAATTCAGCTAATATAGTCGTGAAACGTCGCCCAATCACTTAGCCGCCATGTTGTATGTTCCATTGTTCAGAGGTCCGGTCACTGAGGTGACGCTGGTCATCACTGTTGATGGTCAGTTACTGGACACGTCTCAGATGAGGGAGATTTGCAAGAAAATACCCACTGAAAACCTCCTCGATGGCTTCCCCCACAAGATGTATCTCGGCTCGAGGTTTCCGATGTCAAGTTCAGCAGCTCAAAGTGACGATCAGGTCAGGTGCATGGAACGTTGGGGCGTTATTCAGTAAACTAGAGAGCAGGGCGGTTGAGCTTAACTGGTCCCGAACTTAGCCTTCTCATACCACAAGCACACCTTGACGTATTCCCATGGTTTGTTTTCCAAGATTGGGTGAGTTAGTTGGGAATCGAACTCAGGCCTTCGGCGTAACGATTGAACGCTTTAACCACAAGTTTACCTCACCAAAACACAGTTAGGTTCCAAGAGGTAAACACATGTGACACACCGCCATCACACAGTAGGATGGGGTGACCGGGCTCTGTGATTTGACTGATTGCGTGGCACCCTGCTCAAATGGTGTGGATCCTTGCTCATGACTTCGGTCACTGGTTTGCCTGGCCCAAAGTTTCCCAATTATGTACAGTCCGCCGTGGTAAAGCTGGAATAATGCTGACTGCGTCGTCAAACAATATACACTCACTGGCATACCTGTTTGCGCAGGGATTGTTTTGTAATATGTAAAACACAGACATTTTTGCAATCATTTTTAGCTGACCACCGCGGTATTATCCTTATATTTAACACCCAACACCCTCGCACTTAACGTTTTCTTGTAAAAAATGTAAATACGTAAATATATGTGATTGTTTCAATTTCAATTTTAAATTGTCTACCTTAAAACAGCTTGTGTAAAATGAATGTGTCAGTAATAGTTATCATTCTCTCTCATCCTCAGGTTTTAGGGATGCCAACCGTCGTCGTGATCGTGGTCGGGGCGGTAGCGGGTTTCCTTGCCATTACTGCAGCTGTCATTATAATTAAGTATCGAAGGTAAGCGATGACGATGTTTAAGCATTTTTTCCGTAAAAGATTAGGTTTTGAGGGGAAAAGCAGCAGGCTTTCTGTGATTACTTCCAGAAATGCAAAACAAGCTGCCTTATGAGACATCAGAAGGTTTACTGTCACATTACAATTTCATCCTACCTGGTACCCATTCACTGCTAGGTAAACATGGGCATATTTCGAACAGTCCCTTGCATAAAGATACACCACATGTAACCTATGTTACAGGGTAGATTCGGGCAGGACCGAAGTACTAGAAACTCTCAGGAGTCAAGCTGCTGAACACGGTCACCCATCCACCTACTATCCGCCACCAGTGTACACAGTGCCCCCATAGTGGGATATGCCATCAATAGGGACGATACCGTTCCCAGATTTATCATCCAGATGATATTATTAGCATTATTCCAGTTAAATGAAATCGGTATGCAAATAATTGAGTCGTGACCAGAAAAACCAGTGATTGATATTGTGAGCAACCTAATGGCCGAGGTACGGTGACTCGCACTTAACAGATGCCGATCGACAAAGTCGCCTACTAAGACGAAAATAAGTTTCTTGGGGTCAATTGAAACTCGGAATCACCACGGGGGTCAACCAGTCCTTGAAGGATCCTTGTTGGTGAGGTGAGGTGAAATGGGGTTTAACGTCGCGTTAAAGATTATTGCACTTATATAGCGACGTGCATGTATGTGTGTGTGTGTGTGTGTGTGTGTGTGTGTGGCTGCTTGTACTTGTCCGGACTGATACCGATTTATAGTGCTAGCTCACTGAGATGCCATGCCGCGGTTTAACATGAATACCCCACACAGACACAGTATGCTGACTCCGAGCCGACCAGTCCTTGTTTTAGCCCCTTAATGCCGAGCTCCAGGCAGGGTAACAACAAGTGCGATCTTATGACGTCTTTTGGTATGACGCGGCCGGGGATCGAATCGAACCCCGCTCTACTTCCGCTCTACCACTAGACCACGGAGGCGGTCCCAAGAGTTACTGTGACGTATTATGTCCTATGTATGTAAACGTTTTGGGCAGTAAACGAAAAAGGTGTCAGGATTTTACAGTGCTAGCCCTCTGAGATACCATGCCGCAGTTTAACATGAATTCCCCATTCAGACACAGTATACTGACTCCGAGCCGACCAGTCCTTGTTTAAGCCCCTTAATGCCGAGCGCCAGGCAGGGTAGCAAGAAATACCATACATTTTCTTATGTTTACTTCCAGCCGATGTCGGTCCAGCAGGATCACAGAGCCATTGAACGCGGATTCCGATTCGTTCGGGCACTTCGAGAACCAGATGTATATGCAACCTCACACCATCACCGTGGCGGATAGAGCCACGTCTATAGACTAGGCCACGTGGGTTGGATGGGGGAGGAGCTTCCCGATAACCAATCAATAACCAGCCAAAGAAGTCACCAAATCAGGGGTTGCCCTGTCGATGTGTTTACATTTTGTAAAATATGCCGTGTAAATGATTCCGCTCTCGATAATCCAGGTTTTATATCTACCCCCTTGAGCTAGATAAATTCTGTGCAAGGTTTCTGAAACAGAGATATGGAAATGGTAACGTTACTTATGAATATTTTGGAGGATATTTTTCGTGGTGAAGACAGAACACACAATATCGTAAAAAATATCCCGAACTGTTTTGGTTCAGTATGTAATAAGAGGACACGGGTGGCCCAGTCGTCTGAGGCGCCCTGATTCGCTGTGCAGAGTTGCGTCCCTTGGGCACGCCAGAAACCTATGATTGTGGGTTCGAATCCCGGTTCGCCCTGATTATGTTTCTAGGTTTGTCAGCACCATACCGTGCTCTTGGGTTTCACCGAAGTGGTAAACGTCTGAGACCTGCATCAGTTCGGGCTTTCCTCCCACATTAAGCTGACACGCCGTGATGTTACTGGAATACTGTTAAAAGCTTGAATGTACAATGTAATGTCCCCATTTGATCTCACGTGGAGGCCTGAAAGAAGGCTTGCATCCACAAGAGCAGATGTCTGTACAAACATAACTGACCAGTGAAGATCCGGGGTAGAATAGGTCTTCAGCAACCCATGCTTGTCGTAAGAGGCAACTAACGGGATCAGGTGGTCAGGCTCGCAGACTTGGTTGATACATGTCATCGATCCCAATTGGGTGGATCTATACTCATGGTATCAATCACTGGATTGTCTGGTTCAGACTCGATTATTTTCAGAACGCGTCATATAGCTGGAATATTGCTGAGGGTGGCGTAAAACAACACACCAAACCAAAACCAAAACAAAAACAACATAACTTTATGTTACCGTGTTGAAGGCGTCCCCAACATGTAAATGGGTTGTTTCAGTTTCGCTGTTTTGTAATCAGGCAACCGCATCCTTTCATCCCTTCATCGCAATATGAGCTTACTGTATGTCACTAACGGAGGAAACGGCTCGTCCCGTTAGAATTTATAGTAGGATTTGTGGCAGTCCACTTCTACATCTCCGACCAACACATCGAAAACTATTTTCTGGATTTTTCTTACAAACGTATTTTCTTTTCTCCGAGAACAATCATTTCTGTGTATGCACATATATTTTTCATTTATACTTAAAATAAAACGATCTATGAAATAATGAAGTGGTATTTAGGTAGATATAATACTATTATATAGATATAAACACACACACACAAACACACACACACACACACACACACACACACACACACACACACACACACACACACACACATTTTTTGTTGTTGATGTAAAAAATGTAATATATTTCACAAAATTGATATTTGCATGGTTCTACTGAAATTGAAAAGACTTGAACATATGGACGTTAATTATTGTACATTGTATTCTATAAACAGGAATAGTACCGTTATGTACCTTGCACGAGTATGAGAGACTTCGTTAAACTATAGCCTTCATGTACCCGACTTCACTTTAGCCGGAACTAACTACAGTGCCGGCAAAAAAAAGCATACTGCCAAATCTGTTTGATGGTGGCTATGACATAAAACAACAAATTGTTTTGGGATGATGATGGATTTGATCCCTGTAACACAGGCGACATTACATGCATCAAATCATGCGAGTATGTCGCGCGACTGTTTTCAGCCTAGTAACGGTATTTTTGCAAATCCAATTTTGAAGTGTACACTTTCTTTCGCCCGGCATTTTATATGTATATTTGTATAAGTGTATGATGTGTGATATGTATTTTAATGTTTATTTACTGTGGTGATGTAAGTATACTTGTATTGATGTCAGTATAACTCAACGTTTCTGCAGGAAATATCTCCTCAATCGCCAAGCTATTGTATATAATTACCTTCAACTAAGATATTTTTGACGAAAAAACAAACAAAAGGGAAATAAAAAGCGAAAAGATCTCTTAAATTCTTTTTTTGTTAATTTTTGTTTCGTTTCACATGTTCACCACCATCCTCCACTCAATATTAATGAGCCGCAATTCCCAGTGCAGAGTTGTATATTTTATATTATTACCCACGTGGTGAGGATACAGGTGGTAAGATACTAAATCCGTACGTCACACGTGTGTCCACTCTCCTACCCAGAGTTCCATGCGGCCGGCAGCCAGCCAGCTTAATTAGTACCTCTGCCACAGGCCAGCGCCATGTGACGATTCGTCTTATCTTTCACAGTCCATTCAAGATATTGAATATGCTTTTCATCCGTTTCATGTTTGACAAGTCTACACATTTTCATAAACAAACGTCAAAGAATGTTTACGGTTCATTAAGAAAGTATCATAATACGTGAAAATCTATTTGTTTTTGCGTAGTTATCCTTTGTTTACATTGGTTGTACGGCTCCACGTGCTGTCATCGAAGCCCAACGGAGAGCTGGCGACACGGCCACTTTGGTGCATAAATATATTGTCATGCAACTCACTGTCGCAGTTGTAGTAGCATATCTATATAGTTATGCAAAACAATATGTTAAGCGCCCCCAAATACCAGCATTAGTCCGTTCTACACTGATTTCTGAAAAGGCGCGTTTGTTTACAAACAAGAGAAAAGTCCGGTCACGTGATATGCAAATTAGCCTGTGGCAGTGGTGTTATGCTGAGTCACCACTGCGCCGGAGTGTGACGTGTGTCGTACAAGTTTGACCTTGTTTTATTCGTTTTGATTGGATAACCGTGACCTCTGTCACACCGGGACTACTTTTTTTATTCATAAAAAATCGCGAGACGTCATTCGTTTTGTAACTACAAGGCAGAACTGAAGAAATTAATAATGAGAACGAGAGATATTTACAAACACTTTATTAAACCAAACAAGATAGTCACACGCATCAAATTCGGTTTGCATTCAATATAAGTTATGCATAGAGCTTCTACAGACATTACATATAATTGAGTTATATCCATTTTACGACTACCGATCAATAGAGCGAGGGCCCCCCATGAGCGTGACGCACCCCGACCACTTTCGCAACTTTCAATTTAATTTAACGTAAAAGGATAAGCGTGGTGATATGAAGTCTGTTTAACTATCCGGACAGATATCTAGACTTACTTGGGATGATCCGGTTGTGCCATCAGTGTCCCCTTCGAAGCGTATTTTGTGGCGCTGTTTAGGGAGGTGTTGTTCATGAATGAACGTACACGACTGCACGACCAGATACAAATCTTTCGAAAAATTCGTGGAAGTGTGCCTGACTTCTGATTTTGTGGCCCCAAACATCCCAAATGTGAACAATAACATTCCCTATCTCTAGCGTAAAAAGGTGTGAGTAGACCACGATTGTCTTTTCTTATTCCGGTGGTGACCTTGCCCTTCGATCGTTCGAAGCTGTCACTGACATGCAAGCAGACTTGAGTTTGTTGATTTTCACGTCTTCGGTATAGGGTGGTACAGTTAACACGAATGTCTTTGGCGAACACTCTGATTTCCCTCTTCCAAAATGGTACGAAAATGATATAAATTCAGCTCATAGATCAAGGAAACCGAATCATTTTGATTGCACAGACGGGACACTGGCAGTGCGAGTGACCGACTGTTAGTCCGATATTCAAAGCCTGGCGCTAATGTGACTTTTCAAATTTTCTTATAGGTGTCATTCGTACTTACAGCATGTCGCTTTAATTACCATAAGTTGAAGAATTTCTTCCAAAAGGATCTTGATCGTCGGTGCTGTTTTGTTTGCAAACACAACTGCAGGCGCATGTTGTTAATGCGGATGCACAGAAATGTCAACAATGCCCATATTTGGGCATATATCAATATTCATGCGCATCCAGATTTTGCAAACGGTTTCAGTTTGGTCTGTCAACTATAACGAAAGTTGTTATGTATTTACACTTAAAGGGGAAGTGTACACGCAAAAATCACTTTCTTTCTTTTTCTAAACAAAACGCAATTTTAGAATCAATTAGTATCTGTGTTTGAAAATATACACTCATTTTTTTCACAGTGAAAGTAGGAAGCTCACAATAGAGTGAAAATGATATGCCGTTATGAGGCCTTCGTTTTTCGAGCTAAACAGGCCTGAGTTATCTCCCTTAGATTATGACGTAATTGGTGCCAATTCAACTGGGTCCCTGTCTATTCTCAACGCAAAAGATATCAAGCACCAGTTTGCGGTAAAACAACATGGCCTACGACACACTCCGGCGCAGTGGTGACTCAGCATAACACTATGCTGGCTGGCATCTGAGACGCTAGAATCACACACCTAGACCTACACCACGTGAAGCGGCTCTAACAAAGAATGATGACGTCATAATGTTTATCAATTGGCACCAATGACGTCATATTGCAAGGGGCATAAGCCATGGTGTTTTTGTTGTGGAAATAGAACACTTGGTAAATGTGAAAAATATAAATCGTTTTAATGCGAAAATTATGTTAATTAATTGTGATATTTTTATATTTTTGTCTATGACACTTCTAGGTTATCACTTTTAATGTGGAAAAAGTACAAGAAAAATATGTTAATTTCCGTGTGAACTTGCCCTTTAAATATATATTTAACGTGGGTAATAAATAAAATACCACACTCATTCTCCTTAGATACCATTTTTACGACACGAGTGGACTTTCTATGGTATCTGGCCGAGCGAAAGCGAGGTCAGAAACCATAGAAAATCCACTCGTGTCGTAAAAATGGTATCTAACGTGAATGAGTGTAGTATTCTCTATATATATCTACAATTACAGGTTACCATTACAAAATGCACAGATGTGGTTACTACAATATTCAAAGGGTGTGTGGCAATAAATGTCATGCAGGAAACACAATAGAAATCTACAAAGGGACTGTATTTACGTTTTGGAGACGACAGAGAGCTTGGAATTTTGGCGCTTTTCTATGTACGACTGTGACGTCATATATTTTGCGTCAGAATGAGCGATATGACGTCATAATGGTGACGCGCGATGCAGAGCGAAAGCCTTGCAAAGCTTGCTTTGTTTTCTTTAGGGATGCCCACCTCATGTTAGCTTACCAAGTTGCCGTGCTAATATGCTTTCAATGCCTGTCATATGTTCGAGTGAAATATTACGGCGGTGTAAACAAACTGCTTGAGTATATACAGCGGTACATATTTTGTTCGGTGATTCCATAATTCAAATCGATAACCCATTCAAAACACTGGACTCAACCCATGCCGCTTCACTCAGTATATTTGCTAACACCAAAGAGTTCGCGTTTTACTTAGTCATGGTAGAATGGAGATAAACATACTGTGTTTTCAATGAAGAGCGAGGTTACCTGTAGATTTAACCCACTTGGTGCCACGGGACCATATATGGTCCCTCACTTTTCACACCCGCATAGTGCCAGGGGACCATA